GTAGTAGTAGTAGCAGCATTAGTAGTGGTAGTAGTGGTAGCAATGGTAGTAGTAGCAGTAATTACAATAATAAGAATAATAACCACTGACAGTAGTATTTGTTTTGGAATATTAAAATAAACAATAGTAGTACTGTAACGTATATAACGTATATACACACATCTATTTTTACATACATACATATTTATGTTGTGGTTTGCTTTGGCTTTTTTTGTGTTCCTGTATCCCGCGTGTTGTGCCTTACAGCTTATTGTGTTCCCACTGTCACAAGGGACCAAGCGCTAGTTCGAAGATGCGGAATATTATCATGGTCCGCCGACGAATGCGCAAGTGGCGTGCCAAAAAACTTCCGCAGCCCCCGCCTGCAATGATGGTGTAACTAATGGCACATCTGATACTACGATACGGTGGAGGATGCAGATCCATGTGCAAAACCCGACAATGCTTGACTAGAGTAGATACACAAGTACATGTCATGCGACGACAATGCAACACAAAAAATTACGTGCCACTGTGTGTGCCTGATGCGTTGATGCACAGTTGCACAATCATGTGTGCGAGAGAAGGGTGACAAACGCAGTTGACATGCCAATTGCAGCATCCGCCAAGGACGGATGTGTTTTTTGTAGTTGGGTGGGCTTGGCACGCACTTGAGCACGTTGTGTCGCGCGTACTGCCGAACCACACATGGAGCCGGATTACAATCCAGCACGTCCAAGTTTGTAACCAAGTCGTTTCGCGTATGCGACGACTTTCCGCTGCCTGGTGTTGGGATGAAAAAGCTCACAGCGACGCCGCTCGTTCCGTGAAAACTTCCCCCTCCTTTCTCACTCAAGCTCGGGTGCCGGGTTACTCGGGTCTCGCCAAGCCCAGCACTGGTTCGCGCAGCCCGTTTGAAGTACATATAGCACATGCCCGACCAAATAGCTCTGAAATGTTCTGAATTGCCCCAATAGTCCGGAGGGTTACGTATGGTCCGGAGCCGTTCTGAACTATCGACGAAGACATCGCCCGGGGCCGCACGGAACCATTCTGGACCCCTTGCTGCAAGAAATCGTTCGGAGCCGGTCGGAGCCGTTCGGAACCATATATAACATACGGTATACTTTGCGTATCATCCAAATATTTTACCACCATAACATAATTATTCAAACTCGTGTGTTATCGCACCATATCA